TAGTGTGGCATGTCAGGAAGTCTCAGGTGAGGTGCCTGACATGCACATGGCCCAGAGGAAGATGCAGGCAGGAGCTAACCCAGAGACAAGCAGCAACACAGGCTACAGAGATAGATCGCTCATGCTGGGATGCAGAATTGGTTTAGATCTAGCTCTACTGATGACTCGGTCATCCAGGGCCTCTGCACTGCTCTCTACACAATGGAAGTGGTGAAGAATTATATTCCAGTTGGGGTTGATGGCTCATGCCTGTATTCCAAGCACTTGGGATACTAAAACAGGAGAACTGACCTAGGTTCAAGGCCAGCCTGGGCTAGGGTGAAGCACAGTCTCAAGAAACAAAAACGACTGCTTGCTGCTCCCCATTTATGCCACCTTGGGTTCTGTTGCCACTAATCATTTATGACTGAAGCCCCTGCCCTCCCTCCACTTGACTGACATGGCCCAAGGCATGGTCTCCCTCTGAGCCCAGACCCATGCAATCAACTTAGTTTGACTGAGGAGAGCCAGGCTGCCTGTGCCAACTCCTCTCAGGTGGCAGCCTCCTTGCCTGAGTCACCGGTCAGCATCCTAGGGGGAGGGGTCAGGCATTTGGGAACTCTTCCCTGGTCATACCAAATCTAGAGCATTCCTCCCATGATCGGGGCTGCCTGCCTCCCATCTCAACCAGACCACAAAGACTGTGGAAGTCAAGCTCAGCCCCCTGCATTGTGACTTTGTTCCACATGTCCACACTGGGGAGCCTCTGGACACCTGCCGTAGGGGCACACGCGGTATTTCAACCAAACTCCCAACAGCTGTCTCGGCTGGGGACTTTAGTTTGTTTGTTTTTAATGTTTGCGCTTAGTTATTTATCTGTGCGTCTGTGGGCACACACCACAGCACGCACGCAAAGATCAGAGGACAACCTGCAGGCGTTGGTTCCCTCTTTCTGCCGTGCGGGACCCAGGGATTAAACTCAGGATGTCAGGCATGATGGCAGGAGCCTTTGCCCACCCATCCTTCTCACCAACCCTACTTTGTTTTTTGAGACAGGGTTTTACTCCAGCCTAGGCTGGCCTTGAACTCATGGTAATCCTCGTATACAGATATGAGCCACCTCCTCCAGCTGGAACCTTGTACAAGACCCTATATTTGTTCCCATCATTTCTCATTGCTATCTCTGTGCGGAAGAGCTGAAGATCCTGGATACCACTAACGAATCTGCAATGGGTGGGCCACAGCGGCCCAGAGTGGGCTCTGCAGCACTGTGGAGAGTAATGTGAGGACTCAGGGGTCCCCACCACCACCTTATGTCACCAAGAAGAGCTTCCTGAAGTTTAGAGCTATGCAGCCCAAGAGACCGTATAGCTGACTCAGTGGAACATCACAGGACCTGGAGATGGCAGGTATCCTGAGCCAAAACCATCCTCTGTTGAATTAACTATAAGAAATGTTGGGATGCCGGGTGGTGGTGGTGCTGGTGGTGGCGGCGGCAGTGGCGGTGGCGCACGCCTTTAATCCCAGCACTTGGGAGGCAGAGCAAGGCAGATCTCTGTGAGTTCGAGGCCAGCCTGGTCTACAGAGTGAGATCCAGGACAGGCACCAAAACTATACAGAGAAACCCTGTCTTGAAAAACGAGAAAAAAAAAAAAAAAAAAAGCAATGTTGGGATGAGGAACTGTTATCACATTTTGGATTGCAGAATTTCTCTAAGCCTCTACTGTGCTAGCAAGCACTGTGTGAACTAAAGGACATATGCTGTGCTTTCCAAGCCTATTTGAGCCTTCCTTCCCCCCCTCACAAAGGAGGGGTGGTCCCTTCAACAATGGGGCAGCACTTTCCGGCTACTTCTAGTCTCAGAGAAAAGGGGAAAGTTGTCCTAAGAATCTGAATTAAATGGCATGGGGCAGTCTCATTTCCCTGGTGTGGAGGGCGTGGGGTACAAAGACTGCCCAGGAGCAGCTCTGAGAACCCCTCCCTCCAAGGGTCCGAGAGGTAATGCTTCACTCCACTTTTCCAGATATGGAATTCGCGGTGGCTACACTGCTGGGAATTTAAATTCCAAACAGAATTTGGCACGGAAGATCCATGCGGTCCAACCCCCTCCTAGGCCCCACCTCCTCCTGCAGCACCTGGAGGACAGAGGGGCTCAGCCAAGGAGTCTCTCTCTCTCTCTGAAGACACACAGCTGTGACCACAGATGCCATTTCTGAAAGTCAGGTCTACCAGGTCTCGGCTCAGAACCCAGACGTGTTCTCAGACACAACCAAGTGTCCATGTCCACTTGAGAGCCACCTCCTGGAGCTTGTCCTGTCCTTGTATGTGAATGCTTCCATCTTCCTCGTGCTCCCAGAGCCGGAGGGCCACTCAGGACCCTTGGCTTATCTTCAGCTCCCAGGGCTGAGGTTTCAGGGGCACAATAGGCTTCTGTGCCCCCGTATCCTCACCTCCCCCAATGCCAGCTGCATTCATGGTGTTTGGCTATTGTGGAGGGAGCAGCCTGCGGGCGGTGCAGGAGGGGGTGGGCTCTTGGCACAGGGGCTGGTGCAGACAGGCTATGGTCAGCGGTCAGCATGCAAGTCACATCCGCAGGCACTGCCACCGGGCCTGCCAGGCCTCGAACAGAATGGCAATGCTTGTAGACCCTGGGTCCCTTCCTAAAGTCCCCTCTGGAGACACGGAACTTGCTGCTTTTTGCACCCAGTCCCTTGGTGGCGGTATTGACTTGGGGAGGGGGGTCCTCACCTTCTCGGCCATATCAGGTCACCAGCTAAGCCCTAGACTCAGGAAAGGCCCAAAACCAAGACCATGGCTGGGGTTTTGAGAGGGGTCTAAGAGGTCAAGGACTGGGAGGTGAGAATCAGGGAGCCAGAACCCAAGAGAGTACAGCTCTCCAGCCTCCCGGGAGGCCATAGGTCTTTTAGTGCGAAAAGTCCCTCTCATCTCCCGGGTCCAGGCTGTCTGCTGGCAGATATTCTCTTGTTTATATATGCCTCCAACCTCAAACATACCACCCTGGGTGACAGCAGAGATTAAATCTACTCGACCGGAAAGCTGAGGACTGGAGAGATGGGAGCTCCCTGGAGCCAGATCGCAAGAGACTTCCCCCACCATGGCTCCAACTCCTCCCACACTGGACCCTTTCTTGAGGGAAACTGAGGAACACAGCAACAAAGTGTGGTAGGAGACGGGTCTCACTGAACCACAGCTGGGATCCCGGAGGTGTAAAATTTCCTGAGAGGATCACGGATTGATGGGCAGGCAGCAGAGCAGAGACCACATGTGAGGAAAAGGCAATGCCGGGTGGGAGCAGAGGGAGTCTTGTAAAGCCTCGTTGGGGTCCTGCTGGACCCCTGGGCCATGGTCATCTTCTCCCTAGATGGAAAACACCCCCCCCTTGAGTGCGCTTCCATCCAACTATGACCCAAGACAGCACCCTATCCACTCACTCGCCTTTTGCACAGGGATTGTCTGCGTGACTCCGTAGCCCCAGGCTCCACACTCCCACTCTTGTTTTCCCATAGAAAGGTTTGGTAAGAGAATTAATAACGGAAAAGATCCAGGTACTAAAGAAACGCTCCATAAACAGTTCTCCAAAGTCATTGGTCACCTGAAGCCAGCTCCTCAAGTGACAACAGCTTGTCATAAGAAAGGAAGATCCCAGCCAGGAACCATTCCTGGGGCAGAGAGCATGCGTTGCGGCTTATAAAGGGCCTTGGCATATGAATACTATCCCCCTGGCTCTGCTGGCACCTTTCCAGCCTTGCCCCCGCACCCAGCCATCCCCCCTCCCCCGGCACCACTTCTACCCCCACAGGGCAGCGGGGCAGCCTGGGAGGGGCTGGTCTTACACCACTGCCTCACATGTCCCTGGTCCTTCAGGAAACCGTGGCAGCGTTGAACACACACCCGATACCAGGAAGAGTGACCTTCTGGCTCCACAACTCAACCCCAACACACCTCAGGATACACAGGCCTTATTCCCAGACCACCCCAGGTCAGAAAAGTGAAAGTGACCCCCGTGTGTGTCCCTCTACCTCCTGCACAAGGGGCCCAGTGAAAGAGGTCCCCCGAGGGATCCGCAATTCCCAAACTGGAGTAAATGGGGGAGGTAGGGTCGTGGGAGATAGATTCTGGGAAGGTTCTGGATAAGACCCCACTTAAAAGGGGCTGAGAGGTCATGGCCACCTGTGTATTTATTTAGCTGGGGACAAGCACTGGGGAAGTAGACTTTGTAACCGAATCTATTGAACAAGCAGCCTTTGCAACACATCCAGGTTTTGGGAAAAGGCTCTAGGCAGCTGGAGCCCTCTCTCCCATAGCCACAGCCACCGATGCCGCTCACCCCCCCCCCCCCAAGGATTTCCCTTTCATTTCCTTCCAGCCTGGGAAGGCAGGGGACAGAGCAGTCTGCTAGGTCAAGCCCTCCAAAACCACTTCCTATGTGGCTGGGGGAGGGCAAACAGCTGCAGGATGGATCTAGGGGTTCCCAAGTGGTGGGAACGGGAGGAAAAGCCCCTGAAAGAGTCACTGCCTTCCAGGGAGCTCTCCAGGCGAAGAACCACGGAGGTCGAAGGAGAAGGCTCTTAGGCCCTTCCAGAGGAGTTCAGAGCAGGCTCTGCAACCCTCGGTCCCTGCTGCCGGCAGCCAGAAAAGTTGATAGCGTTGGGCGAAGGATAGACTAGGAAGGGGGTCCCCGCCCTAGCCGCACCCCGGCAGTCTGAAGAGAATCCGGAGACACCCCTAAGCCTGCTTACTAGGAGCAGAGCTCGGGGGCTGGGAGAGGGGGCGGGAGGGCCCTGCCCAGGCCTGAGCTGCTCCGAGCGGTTCTGCCGGGAGGTGACGCGCTCCGGGCGCCCCAGGGACTTCGGGCGGCAAGTTTGGCAAAGCTGATCCAAGCCAAGCCAAGCCGGGCCGGGCAATGTGGGGCCAGCCCGGGCCAGGCCAGGAAGAGCAGACAGATAGGAAAGGGGGTCTGGAGCAGTGGGCGCGGGGCAGGCGCGCGCTGGGGCACCCACCTCTCCGCGCTGCAGCTGGAAGACGCTGTTAAGATAGCTGGAGTGCAGGGGAGAGCCCAGCTGCTCCGGGCGGCCCTTGCCGAAGGCCAGCTCCGGGGGCGCGGCGCCGGCGGGCGGCTCGGGCCGGAAGGCATCGAAGGCACTAGCCTGGTGTGTGTCCTGAAGCGACAGGTAGACCCAGTTGAGCAGCTGGGCTGGCTGGTACACCGAGGCGGCGCTCGTGTCGATGGCAGACAGCAGGCTCATTTTGCCGTGGCGGTGCCGGCCCCTCCCCGGCCACCCGCTCGCGCCCCCCTCCCGGCGGAGGGGCGGGCACCGGGGAGCCTGTGCCCACTGCCGGCCGCCCCGGCCCCGACGGCTATCACCCAGAGCCCCGTGCCCCGCGCGTTGCCCGCAGCCGCCGCCGCCACCACCGCCGCCTCCCGGGACTGCAGCAGTGGGCGCGCGCGGGCGGAGGAAGGAGGCAGAGAAAGTTGGGCAGGAAACTTTTGGCCCCGCCCCGCCCCGCCCGCTGCCCGCCCCGCCCCGCCCGGGGATCCGCTATCTGCCTCTGCGCTGACCCCTCCAGAGACCGCTTCTAAAGGGTGGGGTCCACCGAGACCCCGCCCCATCCCGACCCGTCTGGCCCCCGTCCTCGCTCCCCCATTGGCTGAATATGGATGTAGGGGCGGGGCAAGAAAGAAGGCGGGTCCGCACATGCAGCTCCCTGCCCGCCCCCATACCAAGAGCGGCCTCCTCCCGCCCCCTCCCCGGGCCAGCGCAGCTCCTCAGCCCGGAGCTCAGAACCGACCAGGCCCAAACACTCTGCCTGCTCCACTATAGACTGGCTCCCAGCCCTCTCCAGCTAATTCGTTTTCACACCTTTTTTTCCTCTCTTCCCTCTTTTTGCTGTTACTCTGATTGTATTTCTGTGGCTGTCTTGGTGTTCTCCAACGCCTGTTTTAAACGTGTCTCGTTTGAAGCTTCCTTCTGTCTCCCTTTACACACACACACACACACACACACACACACACACACACACACACACACACTCCTCTCGCTATCACCATAGAACCCTCCCCCTCCCCCTTAATTCCTTCCATCTGCAGAATCGCTTTGCCTGCGCTGAGGGGGGCCCGGGTTCCTGCCCAGGAAGGGCTCCCCTTCTCCACGCCCCCACGCCCCCCACCCCCCTTGCACTTCTCCTGTTTCTGCTCCAGGCCGGCTTAGGCTTTTCTCCTCTATTCTGCTCCCTGGCTCCATCCTCAACCCTCCCTAATCTCTTGTAGGGGTTCCAGGACCCTGACCTGGTCTAAAAGATCCCAGAAACCCACATCTGCCTGGAGAAGCCTGCAGTAGGCACTGGCTTCCCAGATCCTGGTGCCTTAACCTCAGGGTCCCAGAAAGGTGTGTGCTGCCCCATATCCCGGGACCTAACAACTAGGCCCAGCCTCTCACTGCCCTGTGGGGACTCAAGTCACCTGTCTCCAGTCTGGCCCTGGAGCCGTTCATTCAGCCTGGAGTTAAAGTGAGGGAAGATGGACTTGTGAGTAGCCATATCACCTCTGCCGACCAGCCTGTGTTCTCTGTAAAATGGGAATGATGGAATTCAAACTTGTCTGTTGAGTGGAAGCTTGGATTTGGTAAGTAGGAGCTGTTTCAGGAAGGCCACTTCTTCCCCATCAACCACCATGCCAGGGCACCTCAGCACATCTGCAGATGCTTGGACCTGACAGTGGTGACCAAGAGCTGACCAGTGTCACCAACCAAGATCCCATTTGATCTCAAATCTCCATGTTTTGAAAGAATTTGTTTATCAAGCAATTGACAGTTATTAATTCAAATGACAATGTGTATGCCAATAAAATCCCAATATTTTTATTCATCAAAGACATATCTATAAGATGGATGGAGTGGTGCATGTACGTAATCCCAGCATCATGGAGGTGGAGGCAGGAGGATCAGAAGTTCAAGGTCATCCTTGCTATCCAGTGAGTTTGAGGCCAGCTTGGGCTACATGAGACCCTGTCTCAAGCAGAATAAAACAAAACACCTCAGCATTTTTACAATTCTGCTAGAGACTTTGAGCTCCTAAAAATATGAATTAGGATTTGAAACCACCCTCCACAGACTTTAAAGATAAGTGATAAACGCTGGAGAGATAAGGGTTAGCAATTAAGAGCAAGCATTGCTTTTGCTGAGGACCTGAGTTGGTTTCCAGTACCCCTGTATCGTGGCTCACAACCACCAGTAACTCCAGCTCCAAGAACTCTGACACCCTCTTCTGGTCTTGTTGAGCACTCAACATGCCCATATACCTACACACACACACACACACACACACACACACACACACACACACACACACACACATTTAAAGTAAAATAATAAATATTTTTTACAAAGGTGGATGATATCTTCCAGCTGCACAGTGGGGAAAATTAGGAAGCCCAGAGGAGAGCCTGAGACACCCAGAAACTTGACTCTATTCATCAATCTAGCTTTCTAGATGAAGTCGCCCTGTGCTGTCAAAAATATTGACCTTTCCCCCTTAGTGTGAATTGCAGATCCAGACTCCTTTAGAGGTCAGACAGGTAACCACCAGACAAAAGTAGAAAGGTGGTGCTGGCCAAACACCTATACTCACCTCAAGACTTAAGTCTGACGTTGACGCCTGCTTAGAGAGAGACGCTGGTCTCTTCCTGGTCTCCAGAATTATTTGACACCAGGAGGGTGCTTGCTTAACTGGTAATCTATGTCTCTTTCCCCCACCCCCTCCTTGCAGTTCCTACCTAGAACCTGGTGCACCATGAGGGGTTGATAGGGAAATACTTGGTGGGTTGAGAGATAGGCAGATGAAAGGATAGCAAGATTGGGCCTCTTGGAAGCCTGGGTAGCCTCTGTGGGTTTACATGTCTCTCCTTCCCTCTGTCCTTAGGGTACTTGCTCAATATGTGGGCTCTGTACCCAGTAAGTGATCAATAAATGTGAACAGCCTATGGGCAGTTTGTTTGACTAGCCATCAGCTGGCCTGAGGTCAGCCCCCAGATAGCTGCTGGAGACAAATACTACAAATTCCCTGAGACAACATGGGCTGTGGGATGGGGTTGTGGGTAGAAGTGGCAGGGAGTCCCCAGGGGACTAGTACTAGGCCAATAGGCTGGGCCAGACCAGTCCCCATGCCTCCCTGCCCGGACACACACTTAACAAGAGGACGCAGTGAGGCCCAAGCAAGGGAAGGGACTTGCCGAGGTCACACAGTAATCCTAATGACTAAGTCACCTGTTCCTAACCATACCACTGAGTTCCCTTAGTGGTCTCTGATGGACCTTTACCCCTGCGGGTAACCTTGAAACTGGAGGGAGGAGGGAGTTTCATGTGAGGCCCCAGTCACCTGGGGATTCTTTCTAGTCTATGGTCCACAACATGGGACAAAGGAGAGAAATCAGAATTTAGAGAACCTTAGGCAGGTTCCTCCCTTCTCTTTAAAACTGTGAGAGTGGCTAGCTCATCCCTACCCACTTCTCCAGGGACTAGAAGAGCTAAAAGAGGGTGTGAACAGAACATGCTCTGCTAACTGTTAGCAGCCATGTGGCAGAGAAAGGGGGGCACAGGCCATCCCGATAACAATAATACTCAGGCTGTCTAGGAAAATGAGGGAAGAGATAGCAGCTATGTCTCTGTCCTGAAGTCACTCAGGAAATGGGTCTGAGAAGTCCTACTAGGGTTTTAGACAAGAACTCTGAGGTCAAAAGACTAGGAGAAACGGAGGAAGGAGAGGGCATTGGGGAGGCCCTGGGGAGGGAATCGGTCTTCACTTGGGGCCAGTAAGGCAAAGGAAATGCCCAGGGAAGATGGGGCTTTACTATTCTGTACAAGCCATGCTGCTTATCTCTCTGCCAAACAGAGCGTGGTGATTTATCACACAGAGGAAGGAATCCAGGAGTCTGCAGATCTCTGGCTGTTCCCAAATAGCATCAGGATTACAATGACGTGCCCACTGGACAAGCCTGAGGTTCCTCTCCCCCTGGGCCAGGGCCGGGCACTTGGGTGCTTTTAAGCTGTGTGTTGACAGAGAAGGTGTCAGTTTACAGCGGAGAGGGCAAAATGACAACCGCTTTCCTGACTCCTGTTCCTGTCCCATCCCCCACCAGGAGAGCTCTCTCCCGGGCAGACAGACCTCCCCAGACCGGGCTTTAGGTCCTTCCTCTTTAATGCAACACTCCAGGTCCGCCCTCATAAGAAGATGGCATTGTCCCACAAAATGAAATTTTCTTCGCACCCCGGCTTTCTGTTCCCCTTCCCTGCATGTGTACACTGAAGGCAACGTCTTACCCAAGGACCCAGCCCCTTGTCATCGAGGCACACAGCTTACTAGACACCAGCTAGGGTTTGCCCCCACTGACCCCAGTTGCCCTTCTGAGCAGATGGTAAAGCCCTAAGAGCAGCCTGACCACACTAGAGCCCTCATACAGGCTCTTGACCAGCCTTTAAGAGAGCAGCAAGAGACCAGGGATGTAGCTCGGCCCAAGACTGTTTGTCTGGCATGTGTGAGGCCTTGTATTCCATACCCAACCGAGAGAGAGAGAGAGAGAGAGAGAGAGAGAGAGAGAGAGAGAGAGAG